CAATATTTTGAGAAAGAAAACAGCATATGTTATTTATTTATTTATTTTTACTTTTAAGCTTATATATTAATTTACAATAACTTAATTATTGCTTAGTGCTATAAGAGAAGTATTAGCTTGTCTTAAAAAACAAAGTATCTGTATAATAATTTCGAATAAAAAAAAACATGAAGTTTTTCGCATTTTTTCTTCTTTAATAGTAGTAAATTTTGCCAGATTTTGAACTTTCGCAATGGAAAAAATTTCATTATATTTCAACTGTATATTAAATATGCATTCTTTCTTAGTTTTTAAAAATATCCTTGAGCTACATTCGCTATTTGTTTTGAAAGAAAGTAACATAAAAAGATTAATTGAAGCTTTTTATGTTACATACATACATACATACATACATACATACATACATACANATATATATATATATCAGACAATTCATTGGACGCTGTGCAGATTGTGTATATTTTTAAAATTATTTTGGCATTTTATACATGCAATTAGAAAATGGATGCAAACAGCAGAGAAAAATGGGTAAAAAAATATACAGCAAACTCTTTCATCCGTTTTTCATTATTCAACTGTGTATATAAAAAAACGTATTTTTTACTTATGCAAACAAATACTACAGTCTACATTTTTTCCAAGGGTTTGCCATTCTACTCTTAGTTTGTTAACTTGTTTCTGAACGTAAATCAAATACCTTGTTTATTCACTAATCGACTAATTTTGAAAATTCGAAAACATAACTTCTAACATAAAAACTACCTTAACATTAATGTAAAAATCTCTTGGATAATAAAAAAAATCATAACAAAATACATAAGGCGTTCATTCAAACTTGGATACTCACGTTAAGAAAGTTGTAGAAATAAATATACACGACGATCCTTCAAACTTTGATATTCAAATTAACATAGTTGTAGAAATAAACACGCAAAACAGCCATAATAATGAAAATTATTTTCTCTCGTAGTATATGAAACAGAATCTTTTCTATTCAAAATTACTGATCGACGAAACAATTCTCATTTGCTTAGATAGCATATCTAGAAAAATTCTTCAAAAGAAAANTTGATACTCACGTTAAGAAAGTTGTAGAAATAAATATACAAGACGATCCTTCAAACTTTGATATTCAAATTAACATAGTTGTAAAAATAAACACGCAAAACAGCCATAATAATGAAAATTATTTTCTCTCGTAGTATATGAAACAGAATCTTTTCTATTCAAAATTACTGATCGACGAAACAATTCTCATTTGCTTAGATAGCATATCTAGAAAAATTCTTCAAAAGAAAAGCCAAACATTAACGGGTGAAATTAAATAGTGTATCCTTTTTATTAGGCGTCAGGCATAGATTTAAAAAGAAAACATGTATTTAAATTTCTAACATTAGTAACTGAAAAAAAATGAATTGCTTTAATTTTATTTTTTATTTCATGTATTACTTATTGCAATGTGTTTTATAGTTTCGAAAATATAAATATTTAAAATTCGGTCTATCATTTATGCTAATCCTGAATTATGTCTGCACTCGAATTCTTCAGTTATATTAAAAACCCGGGCAATCATCTGTGCTCACCCTAATTACGTCTTGAATTCGAATTCTTCAGTTATATTTAAAATCAAGTGATTTCGATTTAATTGTGAATAATTCTAGTTCTTATTTTATATTCTAAATACGTACTTTCTTGAATCGCAATAATTTATAAGTCTTTGGTTATCTTCAAGCCTAAAGCACGGAAGTTTAATTAATAATCAGCATCCATTGTTCATTTGACATTTGTGTGCATGATGTTCTCATTCGCATTAAAAATATTTTTAGTTTGTCGCTGACTGCTATCCTTCTAAAATTAGTCTGTTTCCGTGTGCTGGAATATTTTTTAAAGCTTTGTCTATTTTGATTCCAAAAAAGTGACCTCTTTTTTTTCATATATTCTACTTTTTCACAATTCTTCTCTTTCTTTAAAACAAACGCTTGCCAAATACTTTTGTCACTGTCTTTTACAGATGCCAAGAATAGTCGTCTATCGATTGATCTTTCTTTATGTGAATCAGATAATACTCTTTAAGCACAATTAGTGATTTGTCACTTTACAATGCTCAATTTGTTTTTTGTCGGAAGATATGCATAAAGTTGCTTGAAATTTGTTGTGATTTACGAATTACTCAGTTTATAAATACTCTAAAAGCAGTTTCTGAAATTTTCAAAATAGAATTGTGTATTTTTTCTTCAATTCTGATATGAGGGTAGAGGTATATTTTTAAAACTTAAAAATTATTGTGTTTATGTTAATACGGTTTGACTTTCCCTTTAAATGCATTTTTTCTGACTGGAATGTGCCGACATAGACAAAATGTACGTAGTCTGTTACTGCGTTTCAAATATATACTTTAACACTCATCTTTTATGACAAAAAATAAAAAAAACTATACGCGGAATTTTTTATTCTAAATAATTAACATTTTTAAAACCACTAAATACAAATTAAAGATTGTCTTCTCTAATTTTTTTCCAAATCAAAGATTATCTTCAATTACATTCTATTAATTTTCCTATAAATTATTTAATAGATATGATATAAAACCCTACGATTAAAATAAGCGTGTATTTTGATTTGTTCTTTTTTCATTATTAAAGAAAATAAAAATTTAATTTGAAGAAACAAATAAGAATTTATTATAAATCTCATTAACATAATCGAACAATAGAAATAGTTCTTAACAAAGGAAGTGGTAGGTTCTAAAATTTTTTTCCAACTAATCAATGAGTAATTTAAGTATTCTTTCAATCTTTACACATACTTAGTAGCTAATGAAATCACTTGTGAACTTGGTCAACTACATTTTTGAAACTAAATGCGATAACCTTTTAAAACCTTTTTTCCACTATAAATTATTTTCTTTATGATGTAAAAATTAATTACTGATATCTTCAAAATCTGATTCCTCATTTTTAAAATGGTAATTGTGTAATTAGATTATCAGGATAACTCTTAATTTATAACAAAAAATCTGCAATGAAACATTCAAAAAACGAGAGTTGAGTTTGTCTAAGAATGCGTTTATTATTAAAAATGATTGACGCATATTTTTAATAAAATCGTTTTTGTTTATTCGTGCCTATTTAACTAAAATAAATTCATGGCTGAGTAAAAATTTATTCTAAAAAAAACTCAAAATATAAGATATTCGTATTTTAAATTCAAAGGAACATTTTGCCCTCAAGAATAAGTATAACATTACGCTAAGAGATGGCGCCACTATTCGCACTGATATTCTCTTCAGAAAACTTTTTTAATCTTATGTTTTGAGATTACATTGACATTTCTTTTATATTTTTCAAATTTATTATTATAAAAAAAAATTCTAAATACATATAATTTAGTTACATATATTTTCAAATAATTTTGAGAATAATTCACCGTTCCCCAAACACTTTGAAATTTAGACGTTCAATTTAATTATTTATTAACGAAAAGTAAAATAAAAAAAGGAAGAAAAAAAAAGAAAAAAAATAAGAAAGGGTCATTTCTGGTGAAATAAAATTTTTTTCTTTCATCAATTAAATTTGTTTTAGAGTAGTATTCTACATTAAACATTAATAAGAATTACATTAAAATAAAATAATAAATTTTAAATTGCGACATCCAATAATAAATAGATACATAAAAAATATTTATTCAAATACAGAAAAAAAAANAAAAAAAAAAAAAAAAAAAAAAAACATGAGAATTGTTAAAAAATTTCATTTCCCTACCTAAATAGAAACACAAGCGCATCAATAATTTTAGTGCATGTTTTTTTATAGATGATTTTCTATTCGCGGAAACTATAGTGGCTTTGAGTCAGAAAAATTTCTTTAATACTTAATTTGTTGTCTATGAACCAGAGATGGGCATTCGTCATTCAGAATAATGAATAAAGAATGATGAATAATTATTCAAAATCTGAATAATGAATAAAGATTTATTCATTAGTCAGAAATATTTTGAATAAAGAATAAATCATTCATTATTCGTTATTCAGTATCCTTTATTCATTAGTCAAGAATAACTGAATAATTTCACTGGTCAATAAAAATGAGCGCGGAATACTCTAATTGACAACGATTATGACAACTACAAATAAAACGTTAATCCTTTTCAAGTATATTTATATAATGTTTGAGAAAATTTACTTTTGTCTAACATAATGCAGACTTTTGAGAAATGGTTACATGGCAAAAAAAGGGTTTAATTTTTTTAATTAAAATTTTATTTAAAAATTTAAAATAATATTATCGTTTGCTTTCAAAAACTATAAAAAATTGCGTTTTATAGATTTTAGAACAAAATTTTAAAATGAACTTAAGTAACTAAACTGTTATAAACCTACTTTTTAGCACAACTAAGTATGTTACGCTGGAGTAAGTTAAAATAACATAAAAATAAATAGTCATACTTGTCTTAGTTTTATAGTTTAATTCCTAAAATAAGACGTTTAAGAGCAAACGATGTTTTGCATCTCGTTATAGACAAAGACATATCGATTGCATTTTTTGCTGGTTATTCAAATTTTATTCAGAAAAATTAGTCATGACTAATGAGTTTATTCATCAATCATTATTCAAAAATTTTTATACATTTGCATAATGAATGATGACTAAATTTTCATATGATCACTCAGAATAAATTTATTCTGAATAAATTTAGTCATGAATAAAATTTTCGTGAATGATGCCCATCACTGCTATGAACTATATAAATCTTTCTAATAAATGAACTATATAAATCTATCTCATAAATGAACTATATAAATCTTTTTAATAAATGAACTATATAAATATTTCTAATAAACTATAGTTCATAAGAGAAAAATGAGTTAAAATTACCATAAGGATCTTATATTTTATCACAACAATTTTTCAGAATTTATCTGGCTGAAAACATTTTTTTCAAAAATTATTCATATTTTTTTATATTCTTATTATTTAATTCAAAAAAAAAATTTTTTCTAGGTAAAATCTTTGCTGCTGGACAACATTACCCTGCAAGTTTAGCTTCTTTGGGAAATTATCCACCAACAAGTTCAGCTCTTCAACTCCTTCAACAGCAAGCTGCTGAGGCTATGCATCATGGTCATTTTGCTCATCAATTTTCCAAGGAATCTCCAAATCATTTTCTGGAAAGTGCTTGGACTCCAGAAAATAATGTTCCAAATGTCTCACAACAGTTACAAAACTCAAATGAAAACATTTTGGAATCTCTTAGAGCTAAAATGATGAACAATGTATCAAGGCTAGCTGCTGTTTCTTCCAATAACATCATTCCTAATCCCCAGGTAAGATTTTTTATTCAATTCATTTATTAGTTGCCAGCAGCTATTCCCCAATGTTCGGTTTTGCAAGCTAAGCTGGCAGCAAATTGCTTGTTGTACGCAGAAATTTTTCAAGCAAAAATAATTGAGCCTTTTTTTTTTTAATTTATGCTCAGTGGCCTACAAATCGCGGGCACTCAGTCGCCATGGCGCCTAGAAAATCGTAGCTTGCACTAAATATTTAATAAAAAACAAACTTTACTTTCAATTCCATAGCAGACTGTCTCTTAAATTTGTCCTGACTATTAGTAATTTTCCTTAGACCTGTTTTGTAAAATTTTCCGTATATTAAAATTAAAAAAAATAGTATTAAAGAATCAAAGAGAATTCATTTTTAAGTTAAAATTTTAAATATTTAAACTAAATTAACATTAGACATCAATAAAATTTGCCACTTTCATTTATTTTTTCTCAAGTAAGTAATGAAGTTTAAATTTTAATAACTAACTTAAAGCTTGGAGAGTCGTCAAAACAGAATTAATATAAATTAATGTAAGTTAAAATAGAAAAATAAAATAAAATAGCTTATACCTGCGTTTCTTATTAATGTGTTAAACTATTGGAATAACTTTTATGTGATGAGTTTGTTATAACTAATATTATTTTTTTGGTTTATTATGAAATGTAAAAATCGAAATATTCAAATTTTGCACCCTCGATAGTGGTCAGCATTTTCGCCTGGAAACATTTAAAAATATCTAGTTTATAAGCAAATATTGAAACATCTTATTTATAAACAAATGCTAAAATTCTGTAATTACAACCAAATATATTAAATTAGTAAAACAATTTGTCTTTTCAAGTTGTATTTTTAAAATTATAAAAGATATTACAATCGTGATGTTATTATTAAGAAAAGTTGTAATTTCAAGTTGTAATTTTTAAAATTATAAAAGATATTGCAATCGTGATGTTATTATTAAAAAAAGTTGTAATTTCAAGTTGTAATTTTTAAAATTATAAAAGATATTGCAATCGAGATATGCATAANTTAAAATTATAAAAGATATTGCAATCGTGATGTTATTATTAAAAAAAAATGTGCACGCGTGACTTTCCAAAATACTGTACGGAATAAGCGCGGCTTAGAATGTTGCACTAATTAAACCGAATTATTTTATTTTCTCCCCTATTTAATCAATTCCTTTATTTTCGATTTGAGCAATGATGACAAAATGAAGTGGTTTCTATTTCTCTATATATTTTACATCAGCGAAATTGTCTTAATATATTTCTCTCTTGATTCCAAACATTATTCTCATATGGCTTTTTTTTCTTACGACCTTACAAATATTTATTTAAACAAAATATTTTTTGAACTGTTTTTCGATTGCTTGTTAAATTCTTTGTGATTATACCCTTGGTAGACGATGCTTAGGACTCATTCTAATAATATATACTTCTCACAGGAAAGAAAAAAGTATTACCATCTAATAATGTTTGAGACATGACAATTTGAGAATTTATGACAGGTGAATAATAGTTGAAATTTTTTTCCCGCGGCCAATCTCTACGAAAATATTTAGCAAGAATTTTATTTTTATTTAGTCCTTCATTTCTTAAACAGGGAAATATATCAATTTTGAAAATTACCTATTAACATCGAAATTTAAAAAAATACTATCAAGAATAAAGTGGTTTACATTAATTTTTGCTACAGCTGACATAAAAAAAGCTCAGCATTTGATTTAAAATTCAGGTTGACTTTCGGCATATAAATTCTATCTTCCAGCATATGTGAAAAAATATGTTTATATGCTTCGTTCTTATTTAAAGTTAACGTTTTTTATTAACATCGCCAATTTTTTTTAGGTCGACGCATGTGCGTTGCAGGTGTTCAATTTTTGGAGGGGGAAAATAATTGAATTACCATCTTTTTAACTCTCTAAATTTCACACATAAAAAAGAAATTTCTTATACCCCCAAAAAGATTAATTATTTTTCTCTCTTTCTCGTTTTTAACTTTGGTGAATTTAATAGAAAATGATTCGTGAAAATTTTCTTTGTCTTAAATTTTGAGGGAGACTTATAGAGATTTCTAATTACTGAAGGGCCATATATCTCCCCCCCCCCAGCAATGACACCTACGGGTCCACGCATTTGCTGCCTTCGAACTTACTTGACAAACACTCCAATTCAATTGGCGATCGAAATGGGCTGCAGGTGGCGTAGAGCAGAACTCTTTTCCTATGGCAACACTTCACATGCTTTCCCCATTAGCGTGTGGAAAGTCATAGAGGAAGGAAGTACGTTAGTTTCTCTCTGGATTTTCATATAGATTAAAATCTTTTAACTTGAGAAACTATATGGAACTGAAAACTGCATTAAACATAGTTCTAAAGAAAAGTATCATAGAAATTTTAAGAAATATTTTTATTATATAAAAAGGAAAAATATTAAGGAAAGGGAAAATATCGTAGTACATTCCTATACAACTGAAAAAAGGAGGAGAGGGAAGGGAGAAGGGCTAAAGGCATGAAACTGGTCTTTCCCCAGATGGCGTATTCGAGTGTTGCGATCGCGAATACTAAATCTTGGCTGCGGTCAGTGTGCGGGTGGGTGACCACTTGGATCAGTCTGCGTAGGGACCTAGTGTGTGCGGTATTGGTCCTCGTTAAACTGTGCTACTGTAAAGTGCTCGACTTCGCGCGCAGGTCTTCGGGCTACCGAAGCGGGGGTGCCATCCCCTCCGCAGAGGATCAAAATTGTGATGGCATGCCTTCGGATCGTCCTCCGGGATGTTTCCCAGACCGTCGCCAATAGCCCATTGTGCAGCTCTAGTGCGACGTAAATTAACAACAACATCAATACTGAATCTAATTAATTACACGACAGATGAATTGACGAGAAACAAATAAAATTCAAAATTCATAGTCTTTATTTTTTCTGATGAAAAATATTTCGTTCTTATGGTCCTAATTTTTAAGTTCTTGATTTTTAAATGTTCATTAACATCTTATTTTTTATCAAGAATATAATTGTGGATTTTAAAATAGTCGATTTCGAGAATAGAATAAAATGGTTTGGATTTTCGATCCGACATCTTTTTGTTTGAATAAATAATGTTAGTTGAAATAGTAAAATTACGGAAACCAAACTTAGGGAACGTCCACAAATTATATACATGGTTCAGGCATATAGACTTACCCGCAGGGTTCACTATTTCAAACCTTTCGGGAATTCTGTCATTTTATAGAAAAGAAACTCAAAATTTTGCTTTATCAAATTTTTATTCAGGGGTCATACGCATATTTATAATTTTCAGCCAATGAAGTTACGAATCATTTAGGGTGAAATTTTACAGTTTCGCAATTACCGATTCTTCCCCATCAAGGAATTTTAAAAATAATTGATACCAATCAACAATACATAATAATAGACTTTCTGAATGATAAATTGAGGGACCATCCACTAAATTAATGTATAGTGCAAAAGAGAAAAAAACGGATCACCCTGAATAACTTGTGATCTAATGATAGGCTTTTAACGTTTTAGGACTCAACCTTAATGGTTCAAGAGGGTGACCTCAAATATGGTAATTAATTAGTACAGACGATATTTTAAGTTACGAAATTAGACACACAAACGTACTTTATCTGAATAAGCGTGCGTTTTTTCAAGGGATTCGGGTTTCTGACCACAAAAATATAGGCGGTAGGTACCTGCAATCTGAGAAATATGGTCCCCATAGTTTGGTCAGGAAAGCGATCCAAAGTTTGAACCCCTTAATCTTAATTTTTGCGTATTTCACCATATCTCGATATTTATTTAAGCGAATTGAAACATTTTCGCACACAATTATAAAATTCATTTATCCACAAATAATTAAGTACAAAAAATAAATTTTAGTAAATATATGATACTCAAAAAGTAAAATGAACATTAAGGAATCCATACTTTGGACCGATCTCCTGACCAAACTATGGAGACCATATTTTGGGGGTCAGAAATCCAAATCCGTTGAAAAAAAGATATGTTTATTCAGAGAAAGTACGTTTTTGTGTGTGATTTAGTAACTTAAATTAATGTCTGCACTATTAAATTAGCATAATTGAGATCACCTCCTCGAACCATTAAGAATGACTCCTAGAACAAGAAAATCCGATTATTAGATCAAAAATTATTCAGGAAAAAAAGGTATATTTATTCAAAGAAAGTACGATTTTATGTCTGATTTCNATGAACATTAAGGAATCCATACTTTGAACCGATCTCCTGACCAAACTATGGAGACTATATTTTGGGGGTCAGAAATCCAAATCCGTTGAAAAAAAGATAATGACTCCTAGAATGTGCCCGTGATACGATCATTAGATCAGAGGTTATTCAGGGTGGAATTTTTTTGCGCACTGTTTATAAATGTTAAGGAGCGTAATCGTGGTGCTTTTTTTTCACGATTATGGAGACCCTACAATAAAATTATTAAAGATGTTTTGAATTTGATTGAAAATTTTAATTAAATCTTGGTACGAGGAAGTACTCACCAATACTAGTAATTTAATTTAATGTAACACAAATTCTATAAAAAATTTCTGTATATTGATCTCAAGTTATGTGTTGATCAATGTTCCATTAATAAAATTATGTTAGAAACTGTTGAAACGTTGTGTTCTAAACAAATTCTGATATTAAATAGTACAGATTATTGTTTTTTGCAACACAATTTATCTTTATTTTACTTAAGTAGAGAAAAATTATATTTATTTTAGTTTGTTGTTTGTCCTTTTTAAAAATTGTCTGGTATATGTACAGAACACAAAATTAAAAACTGAGCACCCTGAATAACTTTTGATCCAATTTTCACGTTCTGGGATTCAATTTTAAAGGTTCAAAAGGGGTGATTTCCAAATTTGCTAATTAATTAGTGTTGACAATATTTTAAGTTACGAAATCAAACACAAAAACGTACTTTCTCTGATTAAACATACTTTTTTCGGACAAATCGGATTTCTGACTCCTGAAAATATAGGGGTAGCCGCAATGGTCTGATCAGGAGAACGTTTCAAAGTTTGGATTCCTTAAGATTAGTTTGACTTTTTGCGTATTTTCCCATATCTCAAGAGCTTTTTAAGTGAATGGAAAAAATTTTTGCACACAGTTATAGAATTTGTTCATCCAAAGATAATCGTATGCAAAATATAACTTCAGTAAATATTTATTATTATTTTATTTCGTAATAGTCGAAATACTTTTCAATTCCAAGGTATACGATTTTTTATATTCTTTTAAAGAATGCTGTTCTAAAGGACAAAATACGAAAATTAAGCAAAATTGGTCGATTAGTTCCTGAGAAATAGAATTTTGAAAAAGTCATTCTTTTATCATTCAAATATTTCTTGAAAAAGTGTCTCTTACGTTATTGTAGAGTAATTTATTACTAGACCGTACATATTATAATTGATCTGTTTACAGATCTTTATATATATATTTATTTAAAAACGTTAATATAGTAAATTTTTTTTTAAAAAAATGCAATGTATATTATCACGAATTATGATGAAATATGCTAATTTGGACAAAATAGGGTGGCCAGTCTTGGAAAAATTTTAAAAATGGTGACAAGTTCTTGAGGTAATCATACATGTTCTAGGCTTTAATTTCACGTCAATTGTAGGAATTAAGTTGATCAACTTTAACACAAATATTTAATTCCAATATTTTTTACTGCATTGTAGCTAGTTAAAAAAATTTTTTAACAACCTGTTGCAAGCCAAGGTTGCTCCAAACACTTTTTTGCCATTTGGCCCTATCCCCATTTAGGCTCTTCCAGTTTCCCTTTTTGACATATCCCTTGGGAATGAGAAAACACAAAAGACTGCTAATTAAGATTTGACTCTGTGATGCATGCTTTAACTTGTACTCTAATAATCTTCAAATTAAATTAAAGTTAGTTACGAAAAACAAATTATAACATGTAAAACTACTTGCACCGTGAGCTTCAATGCTCATAATAAATTTCATTCTAGGTGATGTTACCTCAGAATGTAGCTACTATATTTACTATAGCTGCCCTGAGCTCTAAATTGCCTTCTCTACAGGTATCATCTGATAACATGTCATGTTTACCGAGCGGATCTATGTCTTCTGAATCTCCTCATCATCCAGGTTCTGGTATTGCACCTGTTAGTTCAACTCCTTCACCTGTAGTTTCATCATCTCATCATAATAGTATGTATTCATTCAAATCTTTCCTACTAAAGTTTTAAGATAATTCCTTAAAATTAAGAATGTTGGTACTAGTTTTGAAAATTCTCTTCTTTGAAAAAATATGTTTGGCAAGAAAGGAACAATTTCTGGCTGTTTAGCTTATTTACAAAATTTAATATTCAAATTTTTTGGTTTCTTTAACGGATATTTGGAATGTTTCAGTCTTACAACAAATTCTGAGTGAAAGTTGTGACAAATGAAGTATTCAGGTTTAGAAAATTCACAATTACTTAATTATCTTTCTTTTCGATTAAAATTATCATAAATTGAGTAAATATGCTTAAATGTTATTAAGCTAGGGTATCAAACCGTTAAAATATTAGCAATTTGACCTTACGTTTTTCGTTATTAACACCAAGCCCAAGTGAAATGTTCTGAAACTCAGAGAGGTAGTTAAATTTTGTTTGTTTTTACGTAAACTGAGGTTTTCAAGAGATGAATTATTATAGAGTGGCGTATTATACGAATATTTTTTGAGAGGTAGAGAATGTTTACTACTTTCTTCCATTATATAAAATTCCCTTTATATTGTAGTATGGAGAAAATTACAACTGAAATGTTTTTTTTCTCTCCTTCTTACATAGGTGCAATTTCGACATCATATGGGGTTGAACAGCATAAATTAGGGCCTGTTGATTATACGAGATATGTAAAGAGGTAAATATGCATTCTTTAATTATTGACACATGCTATCAAGATATCTCTTTGATAGTGCAACAGTATTAAATTGTTTAATATTGTTTAATCTTCTTTATAAATAACTGAAAGCTAATAACTTTGTCAAAACGTTTAGTAAATATGTTTTATCTGTAATTATAATTATTTTTAAAGTTCATTCCAAAGATCATTAAAACTTCAGAAAACTACAAAATTAAAAAGGAAATAATTATTGGATCATTGGTTTTAAACAATACAAATAAATATTGCAATGTTGCACTTTATATTTTTTTAAATGTATTGTTTTTTTATAACTATTTTTTACATTGACTATTTAGTTTCATTAAACAACATATCTTAATGTATTTGCAGATTTTCCAGCGCAACTGAATGTGGAAATAGTTATTGTAAAGATCTAAATTACAGAGAACATTTCCATTGTTTAGATTGCAACTCAAGGGTATGCCTTTTTAGTGTAACGCACATTTTATTAATTTCCTTTTTTAAAATTGTTTATGCTTAATTTTAAAAATTTATGAGCTATTTGTAATTTTTTTAGAAAAATATGAAACTCTTTTTTAAAATAAAAAAACTTTATCTCTGAAAAAATAATAAAAACCAAACTTTTTATAATCTGAACAATAGAACGATGTACAGGGGGAGGGGACAAAATAATAGAAGCACTTGCATATTAACACATTTTTTCATATTTCTCCAGAAACACTCAATGAATGAGGTTATGAAGTTAGATAATGTAAAGAAAGAGCTTATGTTCTTCAAAGCTCATGTTTAGTTACTTGTTAAATACATTATATTTGCTACAGTCAAAAGTATAAATGGGAATCCATCATCAGTGTTACTAAATTTGTGTCAGACAATGTATGCAGTACAATTACATTCATTATCGTAATTTTTAAATAAAAATTTTCATATTATATTGAAAACAATCTGTTAAACAATTAAATTAATTTAAAATATTCCTGCGTCTCGCTTATTTATTGGTGCTATACATCAATAAGAATATTGTTAAATTTAAAGCTCCATCGTGTTAAAATAAATGACAAAAAGTAATTTATTCTTTATTTTTCAAACAGTTAGTACTAAAACATACCTTTGCAATTTTATATGTTTATATTTATGCAGTCCATTTGTCTTATTCATTTATTTTTATCATCCTATGAATTTTAAATATTTTTTAATAAATTTTTTTTTAATTTGAATATACTGCGCTGATTTATATTAAAATTTGTATTGATTCAATAAATAAAAAATATGAAATATATAAAAAATAATAAAAAATATGTTTATTTTAGAACAACTAATTGATATTTCTGCTGAAAATTGTATTCTGCTAAATATTGACATTAACGTAAATAATGTTAAACTACGACATTTTTATAAATAATGACATTAACGTAAATAATGTTCAATTACGAAATTTTTAAATGAAGATAAACTAACTTTCAAAAATACATGCAGTACCAAAAAATATTTAAGATATTAAATGTTAATTTGCTTATTAAGTGGAGTTGTAAAGTGATAAATATGCATATTCAAGATGTTTAGCTATTATACATTTGCATCATGTTCAATTATTTATGAACAAAAGGAATTTTTTTTATTCTTTATCAAAATATTAATCAATAATTAAAGATTTATGTGAAATACTTTTTAATGGTTTAATTACTTTTAATGTGGGGCTTAACATGTCATTTAACCTTTTGTTTTAAATAAACCAAAAAAAATTACAAAAACTGGTTTAAACCAAAAACTTGTTTTTTTTTTCTTGCAGCTCTGTATATTACTGATAAAATGTAAACAAGCTTATGAAACGCTTTCAAATGACTTATTTATTTTTTAAAAAAATATTACATTTGTTACACAAATTTTAACCATTGAAAAATTTTCTTAAATTAATGAATATTTGTATAGTAAAAATATATTTTCTTTAATCTTCTTTATCACTCCTGTTCAGTTTTTTACTCAGTTCATTACTTTTATGCTCCATATTATGTAATTTGTAAACTGAACTCTGGAAAATTACTAAATATAATGCAAAAACTAAGCAAAATAACACAGACCTTCTTATTTCAACCTTTGATAAAAAATGAATGACATAAAAATTAATAGTTATCACAGTTTTCTACTAGTACTAGAAAAGAGCATGTGCAAAGGGTTATCATTAATAATAAAGAAAAACAACAAATTACTCGGAATGACCTTTTGAGTGATTGAAATTTTTGATTCTTCGATATGAAAATACATTGTTTGGGCATGTAAAAAATTGTGCACCTGACGATTCAAAATCTTTTCGATGATTTTTGATTTGGCAATAAAAAAATAATCTATTTTTTAAAATTTTCTTAGATATAGAGTTTTTGGAATTTTTTTATCTTTAAAAGAAAAAATTCTGGAATTTGTTTTGTAAATTTCAATCTGAAATTTGTAAAACAAATTTTGAAGTTTGTAAAAAAAATAATAAACAAAAATATTGAAAATATCTTAAGCGACCCATATTTTCAGAAAAATAAGTTCAACATTGAACTTTAATTATGACCTCATAAACCATACTTTTTGTATCAAGTGTTGAAGCAATCCCATCTTAGCAGAGAAACTTTACAAAACTGACTCATATGCATGACAAATAGAAGAAAACCATGAAAATTGGTCTGGAACTGCGGACATTTCGTTTATCTTAAAAATGCCATGAGCATACTGATTTCATTATTTCAAGTCAATTTTTTTTAAAATAAGTAAATAAAAACTATTAAGAATGCATTTTCAATTTTTTTCTTTGCTATCCATTAGGTTTTTGTAAAAAAAGAAGAAATGATTCGTCATTTCAAATGGCACAAAAAGAGAGACGATTCACTTCAGCATGGGTTCATGCGTTACAGTCCAATGGATGATTGTTCTGATCGATTCAGAGGTTGTACTCATAACCGAAAGCAAACCCATTATCATTGTTTAAAGGTAAGTCTTAGAGTGTTTTTTTTTTTTACTATAGATATTTTGTTCTTCGAATGTTTCCTCTTTTCTGTATTATAATTTATTATTTTATTAACGAAAAGTGTTCTGTAATCAGCACATTTATATTTCAAAACTCCTATCAAAAGTCAAGTAAATAAAATCATTAAAAGAATCAAGGTAAAATAAAAATTTTACCAAAATCTGATGAATCTTTAACAAGGGAGGTGAGCTAGAATCAAAACCTGTTTGATTGCTCAAAAAGTGGGAGGGGTGTACGGTCAAAACACTAAGTTTCATTGCCCGATTAAACTGATATTTTTAATACTAGCTTCCACAATAATGATTCGTCAGATTCTGATAACTGTTTTGTTTCTTCCCCTCCATATCCATTTGGGACCTCTAAAAAAATTTTTGAACTTCAATTATGACAAAATATTTTTTAAAAGCATTGACTATATGATATCCTAAAGTTTTTGAAATTCTGCTTTATTTCTTCCTTTTTTTGCATTAATTAGCTTCTTTTAATAATTAACTTTTTAATCATTTTAAAACTAAGTTTTCATCATATTTCATCTTTAAGTTTTGTTATTTTATTAAATACACAGTGCAGAAAAAAACACTTTGAATAACTTTTCTAATAATTGGCTCTTCATGTGCTAGGATTCATTCTTGATATTTCACAGACCCTTATAATATATACAAATGCTGATTGCAGAAAATTTGTCATCATCACAGAAATTTTTTTATTAACTAAAAAAGAAGAAAAACAATCCAATTCAAAAGAAAGTTTGCCTTTTTCGAATCACCAAGAAAAAGAGATTCATTTTTACGCTTTTCCCTACGAATGCAAACGAGATTAAAAACTGCATTCACATGCTTTTAAATCACGTATCATAATCCCTCGAAGAAAAAAAAGGAATGCTTATTCAGAGAAAGTATGCTTTTGTGTCTGATTTTATGAATAAAAATATTGTCTGCTCTATCTGATTAGCATATTTGAGGTTAAACTCTCAAACCATTGAGTCCTAGTACCCTAAAATCCAATTATTAGATCATAAGACATTCAGGGTGTAGCATTTATTTTCTAACACATTGCACAATAATTTTAATTTACCATTTTGACATAAAATAAGCCTAGTACATTATGAAACTCATATATACTATTACTTTTACAGGAAAGCTGTGATAGAGTATATATTAGCACATCAGACGTTCAGATGCATGCAAATTATCATCGTAAGGATACGGCTATAATTCAAGAAGGATTTCAAAGGTTTCGTGCAACTGAAAACTGTGCAACAGCATCTTGTTTGTTTTTTGGGCAGCGAACTACTCATTTTCATTGCCGTAGATCTGGCTGTAGCTTCACTTTTAAAAATAAAGCTGACATGGGTAATTAATCTCATTTGGTATTTTTTTTTATTTAACCTATTAACTAAATGTGCAAAATAAAATTATCAATTCCAAATCATATATTTTGTTGTTTTTATGGTGCTTTGAACCAGGGTCACCAATCTTTTGATCTCAACAGACTATGAAGCAGAAAATATTCCATCTCACAGACCATTATCCCATCTTTTTGGTTGAGGGAAAAAGTTCTACTATTTAAGATGGGTTTTTAATAGTCTCTAATTAGGACAAAATTGACCTGTTTCTGCAATTTTGAACAGTTTTACTAATTTATACTACTTTTTAGATTAAAGCATTGTACTTTTTTTTAAAGAAATTTTTATTTAACATGTGCAAAGATGAGTAAGAAAAGTTGGATAATGAATAATTAAAGTTTACTTAATAACAAGTCTGTTAGCAATTCTTTTGCGAACCACAGTTTGACAATCACAGCTTTTAATTATTTGCAGATAGTACATGTAACTACCAAAAAATTGCTTCCCGAAGGCTTATTTATCCCAATGCTTGATCCAAGAGTTCCCTTGTCTTCTGGGTTGGGTTCAAAGATACAAGGCTACAGAGTTGTACGAAAATTGTCGTAAACTCAGAATTCGATCAGTTGTGGTTATAATATAAAGTAAAATCTAAATAAACTCATATCAATTGTAATACGCCTAAATTAAAGCCTATCTATTCTTTCTATGTAAATACCCATATAAAAAGCTCTAAATTGTCATTAAATCAGATTCTAAAAATTTAAAGTTCACTTTTTTCTTTCAGAAAAACATAAAACATACCATATTAAAGACGAGCAGCTCAATAAAGATGGATTCAAGAAATTCATGAAACATGAGCACTGCATATTTGAAAACTGCCGTTTCTCTCGCGTTTGCAATCACATTCATTGTATACGACCAGGTAATCAAAATTTTTCAATTTATGTTATTTTCCATTTTGTTTCTATACATTTATAAATATCATTAATTATTTATCTTTTTTATCAGGTTGTACATATGTACTGCATTCAAGTGGGCAGCTTTACTCACACAAACGAAAACATGAAAGACGAGATACTGAACTAGCTTATCGTAAGTTCAAACTTGCTCAAAGCATGATGAAAACTCTGTCTGAAACTGGAAGTATCCCACAGTCTTTTCTTACAGAACCGGTGAGAAAATATATTATTACAATTGTTTTAAATTTTAATAAATATATTTTTAAAATTTGGTTCAATGTTCATGCCTTCATCAACAAATTGAATTAGGCTAATATGTAATCATATTATACCGAAAAGATAGGACTCCCATTCTCAGCAGATTCATACCAGGATTCTTGGTATGAAGACATTGCAATGCCCTATTTTTTCATCCCCATTAAAAATGCAGTAGACTACAAAGCTATGCTTTAAAATATTGTATTCTATAAAGACAGCCCTTAATTTTTTTTTTGGAATTCTTATTAAAAATAAATATAAAAAAGTATGCATATTGGGAGTCACAAATTAATATTTAGGCAAAGAAAAAACAGAAACGCTATTAAAATTGGACAAATTACTGTACAGGAAAACATATGTAAAAAACGAGACTTGTTTGAAAACAGACAATTGAAAGACATTTATTAGGTACACCTTCAATTAAACCTGTTTGGTTTTTAATTACAATCACATTCCTGTATAGTGATTTGGCTAATTGAATTTTTGTTTTTAATGATTATTAGTTAAACATTATTTGACCTGATTAATGGTTAGTACACCAATTAGCGATAAGTACTTATTAAAATTCTGTATATAACGCAGGGGCATGACCACGGTTGACCCTGATTTGAAAAGCGATTTGTCCAGCAGTGATTGGTCTTGAAGCCTAATTTTCGAGCTAAATCAAAGCTGCACTAATAAAAGGTGGCCAATCAATGCGTACAAAACTGCCTGGGATAGAATTCAATGGATTTGGTCGCTAGAATTAGATGCTGGAAAAACGGGTGATTTGATTTGCAAAAATATTCTGACTTTGACTTTTTTCTTTAAAAAATAGACTAACAATATATAATTCAGAAATTCAATGATGTAAATATAAATAAATGAAATGAAGGCATCTGAACAACTTCTATTCATTATTTCTTGATAACTCACTTATAGATGATATATTTTTGTTATTCCCATAACAAAATTTCTTATTTATAGCCATCGTCTGGAGAATCATCTTCAAGTCCTGCTCCTGGATCAATGCCGATTACTTCCTTACCTTCATCTGGTCATATGAATAGCTTCAATTCTGATGATGGATCTTTATCTAATTGCTACATTAAATCAGAAAAAAGAGAATGTGTTTATAGTATGGCTGACATGAATAATATTTCTAATCAGAATTACAGATTGTCCCCTAATGACTCATTAACATCACCTTGTATGCCAACTGATAATGCTAGTTTGTTGGAAGAAAGTTCTGCTGTGGATTTAAGTGTTGATCATCACAAGGATTCAGAAGACTTGTGGAAAGTTTATTTGACTAGGTATTTTAAATTGATATTTCTCAAAGTATAAAAATTGTTGATCTAGTCATTTAACAGTGCCTATTCAAATAGTATTTAATTAAAAAAAAAGAAACATTGCATTTATTTGTTACTCGCCAGTACATTACTACAAGGCACTTAGCTTTGTTTTCAATTTTTTAAAGGAAAGAAAAAGTTTAAGAATTTCGTTTTATTTTTAAATTTTGCATCTTTAAATGCATGTTGGTCAGTACAGTCATTGAAAAATATCTGATACATCAGAAGTCAGTCAGAGCAAGTGTGCACGATAATGAAATTAGACTAAGCTAACAAATGGTTGTATTAGTCGATTGTTAGATAGATCTCATAACATTTTTACTTTAAAAATATATTTTCAATTAGCATTTTTTACAAAGATCATTCTATTGTTGTTATAATAATAACAAAATTATATTATTAATGGTTACTATACCAATAAACGACATTTTTTTTTCAGTTTCTATACATTGTAGAAATCAAAACTTAGTTGCTTATGCCATCCCTTTTTTTATTAATCTTTGTTTGTGAGCACTGCACCTCCAAATAAAAATAATTTTGCCTTTAATATATAATATAAATGAAATTTGTTTGTACTATCATGCCAAATATATTTGAAATTAATCATAACTGTTATATATACTTGCATAATCATCATGCTGCTTAATTTCATCCAAACTGCAAGCTAATAACAATGGAATTGATTGTACATCCTGAATTGTTACGTTTGGATCAGATTAATCAGGATTGTTATGCCATTATAGATTTACAAACAAATAATTTTTTTTAATATATTTGTTATTAAAACTATGTTATATAAATATTTTAAATGATAGTTTAATATTAATTATAAAATTTGACTTATTAACTTTACTCATATATAAAATTATTTAAAACATTAACAAAAATTACAGCTATTTTATTTGAAATAGAATATATTTTAATTAATTCATAAACCAGGAGTTCTAAAGTTTTTGATATCAAAATAAAATAAAATGCATAACATTAATATATAAAAATTTAAACTGGAACATTTTTCTCAATCTTCCTTTTTTTCCCTTATATAATTTAAAATTTTTTTTTAAAATTTGATTTAAATTGTGAACTTTTATTCATTAATTCGTAATTTCCTATAATTCTGTGAATTTAATTTTTTTTTCTTTCTTTAAGATACGGATCAAATGATATATGCCAGCAGCAATGTGAATTTATCTACAAAGATCATTATCATTGTTCCACAGATAACTGTAGTATGACTTTTCGAGCCAAAGACATTTTAGGAGTAAAAGAGCATGCCTGGTAAGTTTTTATTTTAATGTGAGAGCGAACTTCTGCTCTTTTTTAATTTTTTATAACTAAATGCTATAAAAAATTTATATTTTTCCAACTTTTAAAGTTTTTTAATTATATATTTCTTTTTTGCCTGAACCTTGGCTAGTTGCTATGCCAGCAATAATTTACCTAATTGTTGTAATTACAAAAAGTTTTTTTTTTTTTTTTTTTTTTTTAAAAAAATAAAAAGCATTATTAAGTTTTAAAAAGAATCCAAAGATTGAAAGTTAATTTATTTTCCAAAGAGTTTCTTACATTTTTAGAAAATTTAAATCTCTTGAAAGAGTTTATTTTTGACTATCAATACATTATTTATACAATATAAATGTAAATTACCCCTCAAAAAAATTTTGAGATTACAAATCTGTTGCTCGTTTTTTTATATCAAATTCTGTTTTTCTGATAGTTTTTGGCAAATATGTTTTATAGTATATGCTTTGATAACGAAATACGTAGTATTTGTTAAACATATTTAAAATTTGGGAATAACTGTTTGCTCTGCCTATGTATGTAATTTTGATCATCCTCTGATGGTGTATTTAACATTTGATCTGATAAGCATATGGCAAACTTAAAACTTTTTTTAACCTTTTAAATAAATGTATATTTGTTTCCTTGGAAAACAATATTTTACATAAAACAGCCCACAAACATTTGCGACATTGCCGAAATTCTTTTCTTACTTTGTGAGCGTTTTCAAATCGAGAACATTCTTTGCCTATTGAAGGAACATGGTTATGAGTTCGATTAAAGACTTGTCTTGTAAAAGCAGCTGGTATACATTAAATCTATCATTTAAAAAATTATCAAATTTTTCCCCTTGATTTGATGCTTAGCATACAGGGTGTTTTGTAATGAGTGCCTTTAATATTTATTTTTAGAATACTACTTAAAAATAAAGTGCAGTAAATATACACATTAGATTCAGAAATTAGTATTTTAAAAAAAAAGCAAAAGCGCTACTGAATTCTGATAAATCACTATTGCCTCGGGCAGAAATAAAAATGTTGAAACCTGTTTGATTGCTAGATTAAAAACTTTAAGTTGTGTCAACTCCCCTCTGTTTCCTCTCTTAATTAAATTGGTTTTAGCGTTTTTAAACCTACTTTTCTTAATAATGATTCATTAGATTCAATAGCATTTTAATTTTTTTGTTGTTTAAATAATTCATTGCGATCCCTAAGGTACATATTTTTACTTTATTTTGATAAGGGTTCTAAAAATATATATGAAAGGGTGGTAATTATGGAACACCCAGTTTAACGTTATAAGCCTAACACTGTTATTGATCTTGTTTAGTTTCAATATTATTAACTGTAAACCTTTCTGCATCTTTTTCATGCAACATTTTTTATATCTTGAATTGATTTAATTCATTTTGTTTTAATTTCAAAAGCGTGGTATAGATGATAAAAATTATTGAAATGATACCGACATTGGATTTATCATTTCTTCAAATATATATTTTAAATGTGCACACCGTTTTATTGGATTTTTTCAAATTCAAAGGTAAGTTTTTGCTAAATATCTGCCAATAATTTCAGATGCAAAATCAACAATTACCAATGAATAAGTTGGGGGTTTCTCTAGTGATAGAATATTCAAAACAGGTAAAATATTAATGATTTTAAATGTAATATGGTTAAAATTGGATCTCTTCTGACATCATTGGTAAGTTCCTACCACTGAAGAATAAAGCAAAACTTCAAATTTTTTAAAATGCATTTCGTTTAATTCAAAAATCTTCCATGATTTCAATCTCTAAATAGTTTAATAAGGTGTAACTTTTCTGAAACAAGCAACATTACCTTTAATTTTTAATCTAAATTTATTGCTATTTTTATTAGTATAGTTACCTATATTGTAAACGGTGTGCACATTGTTAGCTTAAAACATTTTTGAAGCATTCTACATTAATTTGCAAAAAAAGCTTTGAAATAGTAGCTTGTCCTCTTCAATTTATAATTCGATTTTTCTTGTAAAAATTTGATCATAGTTACTGATTCAATATCCTTTTCAGCAATCATGAATACCAGGAAAGAGTTACCAAATCTTTCTACACTGTAGTTGAAATAGACCAAAATGGTGCTTGTCCCCCTGACTGTCACTATAAAGCCAAAGAAAAACATTATCATTGCAAATGGGTAAGAAAAGTGGTTTTTTTTTCTTAAATCGATGTAATGTTGCTGTTGCTGAAAAGTTTAAATTATAAAAAACTATATAATGATTCAGGTTTAAGAAATTAAAGATTTTAATCATTTTTGTTCCACTCTTATTTTCTGTGAAATATTGTTAAAATCATAGTTTACGATATATTATATGAATCTGCTGAGTAATTTTACTTTGAAATCATTTGGAATAATTATGTGGTTTTAAAGGTAGGTAAATGCTTTATATTTCTTTTGGTTCAATGATTTTCTATCAGTCAAAACGTTTTCATGTGTTGAATGAATTATCTTTAAAGAGGTTAGTATGATAAATTTTTAAACACATGTTTTTATAAAGATTTTGTTTTTATATTCATTATATAATATTAAAAAAATTTGTTGCATAACTTTTTTCATTATTACTGTCAATTTTCTTTTTGCAAAGCATACATATTATTATATGTATGCAAAATTGTTTTCAATAAAGTTGCTTTATTTTTAGGAAAGCTGTCAAGAAGTTATCAGCAGTGATGATAATCCTTTTAGGCGGCTAGATCATTATAAAATTCATAAGTATTCACGTAAATTAAGTGCACCTAAGGAGCATTTGGCTACCTCTTCTAATGTTACCTCTGTTATGGACAGCATGTTTCGTAGAAAAAGAGGGCGTCCACCGAAAAACCGTCTTATTGAGGTGATCATAATATACTTGTTTCATCAATAGTTTGATAATATAATATTACATTGTTACTACTCATCAGGGATGCCAACCGCTGCAGATTTTCTGTAAATCAGATTTAGGGATTTGTTATGAAATACAAAAAATGCTAATGCTTTCAATAACTATAATTTCAATAGTATATATTACACATTTTAATGTTTCTCTTAAATCCTTACTCTTAAATTGTACTTACTCAACACAACTTTCCTTTTACTCATTTATATATACCCAAATATTAACATTTTAATGCAATGCAGTCAGAAGCTCATTGTTTAGTCAGTGCAATTGCTTTGTAAAAATTAGTATATTTGACTTGCAGATGTTTAAATGTTTTATTTGTTAGCAATTGACTAAAATAAAGCTCAAATTGAAAAAACATGACAATGGCTTAGTTAGTTTCAAAATTATCAATTAAAAATAATTTTAGTTATAACTTTATAACTCAAAAAATGATTGACCATTATATTCATATTTAGACTCTTTACATTAAAAAAATTACATTCGATTTTGCTGTCACTGCTGTTTAAGAAAATTTTTGCCTCGTGCTTCTCACTCTCATATTGTAAAAACTATTCGATGAAAATTCATGAATATTTGAAAAAGTTAAGTAAACAATTTTATATCAAAATGTTTTGAATGCGTTACAGAGTTATTATATATCAAAACTGATTTTTTTTCTTTTTGATCGGCATGATTTAGTTTAGTAAAAGCAATTAGCTGTAAAAGGTTTCTTGAGTCACGTACTGACTTGTCGGAAAATGTGCAAAATGCCTCCCTTTTTTAACTTTCAAATTATTTTAAGAAATATTAAATGTTTCACTTTTTTTCGGTTTTTTTATGTAAAGGAAAACTCATTACAGCATATTTATAAATTTTTTTGCAGCCAAGTTTTGTCTGAACATAGCTTAGTTTCTTTTTAAATTTTCTTTATTAGTTTTAGGGTTATTAAATTTCAAAGTTAGGCTTTCAGCTTTTATGATGAAACTTTTATACAATATATATATACTAAACATAATTTGTTTTTTCTGTGGTTTTCCCAATATTCTGCTTTCACTAAAATAAAATGAAGTTCAATTTTTTTACTGATATCTCTGCCATTATTATAGGGAGCATAGAGCTTTTAAAAAGTGCTTAAAGGTGCTTTTTTTATTTGGGGTTTGTAAAAAGTGCTTAATTTTTTATCTTTTAAAAAGAGATATTTTCTTTGCCATCCTTGTAAATTACAAAAAATGCCTGATTTTCACAATTTTCTCTGTTGTATTTATTTTATCAAGAATCTAGTTATTTTATCATGATTATGAAAAGTTTTTGAAAATGTTTTTGAATTTTATTGATCTTATGTTTATGAATTAAGAACTTCAAATGATAGAAAAAAAATTATTTACTGCACAGATCCTAATCATAATTTTTTTTTGTTTTTGGAAAGTGATCAAAAATATTTGTTGAGTGCTTAAAAAGTACTTTAAAGGTGCTTATTTTTTGTTGAAAAATCTGGCTACTTTTATACAAACTTAGATGTTGAACTGTGAGGACTGAAATAATATATTTTTTTACCCTATTTTTTGCATATTCTACATAAATAGTTGAAATTTAAAATTTATAAGTCTTACTGTACAAAGGAACGAACATCATTCCACTCTTAATATGCTAATTTTAGTCTCTTTATCGTCACATTTTGACTAAATCTAAATTGAAGTTAATTGGAAGCAAAGGAGGGATTAAGATAATATAAAATAAATTCATTTGAGAACACAGTTAAAACACTGATTCCTAATTTAAGGTAAATAAATTCCCATCTTAACTAGACAAATACACTGGTTTTTAACAATTTTAATATTTCTTTTGATGCTCTCAGCCTCAATAATGTTCCTACTTAAATATTAATTTGTAATCACTAATTTGCACAGTTTTTTACTATGATTCTAAAAAAATGTATTTTAAAGGCTATCATTATGATACAATATATCTCAAATAGAATTTTTAATGAAAGTAGAATTTCTGAAACTTCTATGAAAATCTGAGAAGCGTTTCTCTATGACTATTGGAAAAATATTGCAAGAGATTGGCTTCCCTGCATGATATTACTTTTGAACAATTTCAAATCTCATGATTTATAATTTTAGTTTCCAATGGGTGCTTCTCATCTACCTCAAGCTATCTATACCAGCTTTAAACTTCCAAAACCTTCAGAGCTTCCTCATCACAATTTTCCAACATCATTTGGCCCTTTTTCATCTGCATACAATGCTTTATCACTTTTACCACCTCCTCCTCCAGTTTCAATGATGTCAACCCCCTCATCACTTCCTCAACTAGTACCAGTTACAGGACTAGGACAATGTATATTTCCATCAGCTAACATGTTAGATATACCACCCCCACCATTGCTAGAAAAGCAAGAAAATATCACAAATTTACCTTCACCTCGTATAAAGCAAGAAATTGAAGATCAAAATAAACCAGAAGTGAGTATGTTTATCAATTTTTTAAAGTTTTTTTTTCCAATTTAGTCATGATTAAGTAGTTCATTGAAATTTTATGTAAGCTATCAATTCTTAAGTTTATTGATTTTAGAATAAAATAAAGCAGTTTTTCTGTAAAATGTTTGTAATTATTTCTGAGTCATACATTTAATTAATTACGTTTAAAAATTAGCTGCTAAGAATGTGTATTACTAGAAGAATCCTCACAAAAACTGATAGCTTTAATGATTAAAATGCACAAAATTTATTAAATATTTTGATAGTATCAGATCAAGTGCAATTAATAGATTATTAATAAGATATTAATTATAATATTAATTATAAGATGCATACAAAAACTGTGCTGTATTAAAAACATAAGGATGTTATTTGAAAGACCAATAATTTTTATTGTAATTAAATTAAAATAATATACTGGCGAAAAACTTTTGCATGCCAATGTAGCTAACTTGCCTTATAATTTATTTTTTAAAAATTTTGAAAAGCTTCATTTCTTAAATATTTTAATGATTTCTTAATCTTTTTAGCATGTATCTTGTATGGCTTCTAAGAATAATATATAATTTCATGTCTGTAACCATTACATGTTTTTTTTTAACTTCTAGATAAAAGAAGGCTTCTTTGTGTTTCATGAGAGCATGCCGTGTCCCGATGATTATTGTGCATTTTATAAAAAGCATCATTTTCATTGTACGCAACCCAGATGTTACTATGTAACAAATCGTCGAGATATTCTTCTTCTACATTCAAAAGATTTTCATGATAATATTGACATAATGGATGGATTTGTGTTTTTTGATCGCAGTGTTGATTGTAGACTTGAAAACTGCCATAGTAATAAAATCAACAGACATTTTCATTGTATTCGGCCGAATTGTAATTATTCATTTGTTAGGTATAGTACTATGACTGTGCATGAACAAAAGCATAAAGAGCAAGAGAACTCGAACAACTATGGTCCTTCCTCTCCTAAGAAGAAACATTACCCCCAAACAAATGATGAGGAGAATTATGCATTTGATGCAAATTCATCTGTCATTAAAACTGAATCCCCATCCCAACCAAAGACCACTGTAGTTAAAGCAGCAGGTACATTTTACCCATTATCTGCTTTTTCTACAAATCAGAATTCTTCTCAATCAGGTCATCATACAACAAACTCTTCTCCTACTCACCACCAGTATTCTAAGCCATCAGAAGATAAAAACAGTAATGATATCATCAGTAATATTAAAACAGAAAGCCTGATTTATCAAAATTCCGATACAGCTGAACAAAATTTAAGCAAACTTCTTCTTCAGCCTGGACCAAATTATCGAAATAATTTTCAAGGTACTGAAAAACATATCCTCTACAGTCCACAGCTAAGTTGTGCAAGACCATTTTGTAAATTAAAGAAAAGAGATCATTTTCATTGCAATATATGTAATCAAGTAAGTTTGATTACTATTTTCATATTTTAACTATAAATATTTGATTTATATAATTAAATGCAAATATTTATTTTCAGTGTCAAATATTACATTAACCTATAATACTGAACACCCTTAATACATATTTTTTGAATCCCAGTAAAAAAAATTAAAAAATTTAAAGTATACATATTTTCTTCCTAGTATAGTATGGTCTAACATTCTGGTATATTTCTACTTCATTTATGAAGTACAAATATACATTATTTGTTTTATAGAGTATGAGTTAAAAAATTCACTTAAATCTCTTATTATGTCTTAAACACTAATTTTCAATGCATTATTAAACATTAAAAATAATTCACATTTGCATGTGAAAAAATATGTAAAATTGCAAAAAAAGAACAAATCCTAAGCTAATATTTTTTTTTATTTCTGTTATTGAATGGGTAAACTCTATTACATTACATTATCGAACAGTTTTTTAATGCCTAACTAATGTGAATAAAAATTGCAGATCAATGTTGCTCATAAGTTTTTTTTATTTTATATCAATTAAATATTTATAAAAAAAAAACTAATTTTTGTTGGTAAATACTTTCTAGCGCAAACTTTTTTTGTCTTGTTTGCCTTTATTATGGAGAAATTTGTCTATTTGTTAAGGCTATTAAAGTTAAGGCTATTTGTTAACAGGGTTATACTTATAACTTAAACTAGACATGATATACTTATCACTTTTTTATCAAATGAGTAACCTTTGATTGAACCTTTATGCTTTTATACAATACTTTCTTCTTAATTTAGTCATTAATTTTAATTTATTGCATACTTACTTTTCTAAATCCATCTTTATCCTTTTGGCAGGCATTTTCAGGATTTTCACGACTTCAACCACATGTTCTAAAACATCCTGGTGCTCCCAGCCCTATTCCAGTTTATCCTCCAGGGTATACAAAACTATCAGCTTCTTCTCCAAGCCCAGATGAAGATGAAATGGATACAGAAGATTTGAGTGATATTGAGGAACGTTCACCCATTAATGGTCCTTTATATAGTGCATCTGAAGAAAATAAAGAATCTTTAGGTTGGTAATCCTGAAATGATTAATTTCTATAAGTATTTTACATATCAGATGATTGCAAAAGTCTGTGAACTGTCTGAATTACATTAAAAAAGTAACAATTACTTGGTGAGACTGCAGAAGAAAATAATTTAATGAACTTAGAGAAGACCCTTAATACTGAAATCTGAGCAAAACGTTTGGTTAATCAAAAAGGCATAAACTTTAAACAACTGTCACTCAACAGATATTGCAAAAACTAAGACATTAAAATGAGAAATTCTCTGTATTCACCTAAAAAATTTAAGTACGAAAATTATTCACTCTGTGTAAGAAATAAAAATTTCTCTACAGCTTTCTCTAAGGAAAATTACACTGTTTCTGTACAAAGACAGGTTTTTTTTTGTGAAAAATTACAAAAGTAGTGGTCTAATTAGATTTTTGTAAAAAAAACATGTCTTTCAAGGAGTTATATTTTAAAAATTATGAATTAAAGATGTCATTGACTCCATTTTTCAAAAGAAAAGTTTAGTGAAAGGTCCATTAATGCAATAAACTATTTTAAGCCGACTCCATTTTGATGAAAAAAAATTTGTGGAAGGTCTGATAACTGACTCACATTTCTCTTTAAATGACCACTACAAGGAGAAATTCTAAATTGTATAAAGCATTGAGAGACAGTTCTAGAAAATGATTGAAAATACATTTGAATAAATACTATTTTTGTATGGAAATTTGCTGCATATCGGGTTTTGAATAGAACATGAACTTTTCCAATCAAATGCTATGATATATACTATTATGAACTTCGCCAATCACATGCTATAATATATACTATTATACATTTTGATAATTATAATATTATACTATATTTTTCGAAAATATATTAACAGTATATAAAATAAATAACTTTTTATTCCTTAAAAATCTCTGCAAAAATTAGTGCTTTCAGAATAATATTACTACTAAAATAATAACATAAGAGTTTAAAATATGTATATTTTTCATAGATTAATTTTTTTTTTACTAAAACGGTATCTTCTTGGAATCTTCCTTCTTAAAATATGCTAATTAAACAAAATTTTAAATTATGACAGATATAAAAATGCACTTTCTCTGAACAAAAATACCTATTTTAAGACAAATTATTTTAAATCCTTTGAATACAGCCGCAATTTAAAAATTGTAGCTTTAATAATTTTCATTATTGTGTCAAAAGTGCAATTGAAAGTTTAACCTCAGTGTTATTTTATATTTTGTGAATTTCATCTTATCTTTGCAAAAACAAAAATATTTTGCACAAAATTAGTTTTTTCTCTCACAAAATTGTATTTTATTGTATCAAAAGAATATTTGATACAATAAAATATAATTTTTTTTAATAATTATTTAAAATAATTCACAATTTTAAACTATGCAATTTTAAAAGAAAATATTCAAAACATTGAGCAAAATCAGTTGAATAGTTCTAGAAAAATATGAATCTAAAATTGATAAAATTTATAGACAATGTAATTTTAATTTTCTATCATTATTGAACCAAATAAAAAAATAATAAATTGTTTTTAAAAAAAAACTTGCTTGGAATTATCTGTGGCTGAACTAAGAATATGGTTTTGTGCAAAAAAAAATTATTTTTTTTTTATTTCCTTATGTAGTTTCAGATAAAAAATTTTTTTTCATTTTTGGTCTCAAGCTTTTAACTGCTTTCCTGACTACAATATTGAGACTACAAATTAAAGATTGCGACCAGCCCCTCAATGATAGAGGTTCTGTGCGAGCTTTGTAGAGAACCAATGACGTTTTGTGGTATCTGCTCAGCACAGAACATGAGATTGCAAAATGTCTCTAATATTCAATCAAAATTACTGTAAAATAACGTGATCTAGTACACTTCTAATTTGTACAAAAATTTTTAAGATGTCAAAAAGAGTGAATGAACAACACCAATGGGGTAGGCAAAAAAGAAAATCGAAGATTTAAATATTACCGTAACTTCCTGCATACTATCCGCACTGCATGTAATCTGCCGGCTTCATTGCGATCCCTGAGAAGAAAATTTTCTGATGAAAGAATTTCTGTAGCAAGGCTGTTTTTACATGGAAAGCTAATTTACTCTAGTTTGTTTCAGGCTTATATTATTTGGACCCAATTCTAATTGATTATGTGGTGCATCTTCTGAAAATTACTGTAATCAAATAAAAAATACTGATTTGTTCAGAAAAATTCATTTCGACGTAATTTTGAGGATTGAGTTAAATATATTTTTTTCTTTCTAGTGGAAAAAAAATCATTCTTTAATTTACGATTTTATCGCATTTGGCGAGATGGCGAAGCTTAGCGCAGACCCTATAGTAATTATCAGAGGCACCAAACAATTCACAGCGCTAGACAGGAACAGTTTAACAGATAATATGCTCATTATAAGCAGGAAATTATGGATTTAATTTTTTATATATCCCTTAAACTTATATTATGTGGTGCATCTTCTGAAAATTACTGTAATCAAATAAAAAATACTGATTTGTTCAGAAAAATTCATTTTGACGTAATTTTGAGGATTGAGTTAAATATATTTTCTTTCTAGTGGAAAAAAAATCATTCTTTAATTTATGATTTTATCGCATTTGGCGAGATGGCGAAGCTTAGCGCAGACCCAATAGTAATTATCAGAGGCACCAAACAATTCACAGCGCTAGACAGGAACAGTTTAACCATTATAAGCAGGAAATTATGGATTTAATTTTTTATATATCCCTTAAACTTATATGCATTTTACTCTAAGTTAAATAAATTTTACATTTATTCCTCATTTGTTCTGACAATACTCAAATGTGATTTCAGACTTGAATATTTCTTCTTAGCCACTCATTGAACTGATTGTGTTAAAAGAGAGAACTATAGAAATGCCTTCCTCATTTTTAAAGCCATACATTCCTAACATATAAAATCAAATTTAATTGACTAACAACATTTAAGAAAATTAACTTTCTAATTTTAATTATTTTGCTCATAAAATTTATTTATATGAATCTGATTATACTATTTAAGAAATATTAGTCTAATTTATGTTACAGATGAACAACAAGTTTCTTCTTCTCATCAATTATTTAGCTGGCAGTCTGTTTCATCAAGCAACTCTCCATTTCAATCAAGCTTGAAGTGCAGTATTGGTGTAAGCAGTTCAAATCAAATCCCTTCCAGTAGTGATAACTTCTATGGTTCTCCTCCAGTTGACTATGGACCTCTTGTGGATGGTATGGATAGTGGGAACAAAGTGATAGATTTAAAAAGACCCTTAAAATTAGAAGATAATAGTGAAGTGAAAAAAATGAAACTGGCAGCTTTAAGAATTCTAAAAGATGAACCTATTCCTGAAGGATATTCGCGATGTCGTTTTAATGAAGATTGTGGTTACACTCTTTGTGGATATAGGGAACATCAAACGCATTTTCATTGTATGAGAAAAGACTGTGGTTACAGTTTTTGTGACAAAACTAGATTTGTGCAACATACAGCTAGGCATGAAAGGTTGGATACTTTAATGGGGGGAGATTTTCAGCAATATCGAGCTAATGTCAATTGTGGTCGATCTGAGTGCATGTACGCTAATACTTTAGGTGCAATGGCTAATAAGTCATCTCATTTCCATTGTTTAAAGTGTGACTTCGTTTGTACAGACACTAATAAAGTTGTTGCTCATAGAAGACAGCATGCAAAAATGGACAGCATCTATGCTGCTGGATTTGAAAAATATACTCAATTTCAAAGTTGTAATATAACAAACTGTAATCATAATCAAAAACAGACTCATTACCACTGTCTTAAATGTCAACATGCTGTTTTAGGCCTTTCGCAAATGTCTTCCCACAAATATCGCCATATGGATTGATAAAAGGTGCTCTTATATACAATGTTTGTGCCAACTATTGAAAATATTGATTTGTTGGCATTAAAGCAATCAAAATTGTGTATTTCTGTTTTGCTTCTCTTTATAAAATATTTATTGTTTTGTCTAATTTGTCTTAGTGATACAGTTTAAATGATGTCAAACATCAATGTGATAATCTTGCCGGTGCAGAGCACTTTAATTATGTGCCTTCTGAAGCATTTTCAAATATACAACAATGTGAATTTTATGGTATCATTTTCGAGCTGCATATTCTGTAATGAACAGCTATAATAGCTGTGAAGATTTATATTTTCATTAAATATCTGCTCTGTCCAGATTTAAACAAAAAGAATTTTGAAATATGTAAAATCACTGTACTTTCATCTTTGAATACTGGTAGAGTTGCTCATATTTGATAAATAGTTCTTGTTAAACTTTTCACTTGTTCATCTAATTCTTATTCATTGTTATTTTTTTCTTGAAGGAGTCAACTATCAGTCTACAAGGGTCCAATTAGTAAAAAAAATCCCAATTTATTTTATAGCATTCCTTTGGATTATGTAGCATGTGGTGCAATATTGACAAATAGTGCCAAATGTTTTTTTTTTTTTTATTTCTATGTCTTTGAACTCTAGATTAGTTATTTGTTCCCTTTGTGTAGTAACTTCTGTCCAATTTTCAGAAGCTGAGCCTGAAAGTTTTAATTTAAAATTTTTTTTAGCCAGCAAAATTTTTTTTTTATAGTTCTTAGAATTCTAAGTGTGTCAGAATTCTTTAGTTATATGTGCATGTTTTCTTATTTAAAAAAAAAAGAAAAGAGAAACTGTTTTCCTGTAAAAAAGATTACAGTAACAGTAAGTTAAAGCTGCATTGCATAAATAAAGTATGCTTTTGATTTATTAAAGAAATTAATAAATTATTTTGGTTTATAAGAAATGTATCCTTATAATATATGAAGGATCTCTTAATTTGCTTCTAACAGCATTTTACTTAAATGTTTTGTGTATGTGTGTGATAGAGCCTTTTGAAGTTCATCAAAATTCATTTTGTAAAACAAATATATGCTTGAACAATATAACTTTACGCTTTAATAATGATATGCTTTTCTTTTTTTCAATTTTGTAAATACATCAAATATTGTTTATAGTTTTTCATTATATTCAAAATATTCAGTATTAATTTTGGTATAAACTATTTCCTAAACTAATTACAAAATTTATCAACATTTAAAATATATAGTATTTTTTTTTTCGTTAGGAAATACTTTTGGCTCAGATTTTAAGACCTAATCACACTAATCTTTACTTGCGACTATCTGGTTTTTTTTTTTAAAACTAAAATTTAAAATGCCTTTTTTTTAAATATTTATTATGCCTTTTCCTTATATCTTGTATGTAATACACTTTTTCAAACGATTCAGATCAGATTACATTCATGCTAAACTAGAGCAAGTGTAATGGATATTCTTAGACCCAACAAAGGAAATTCTAATAAAAAAAATAATTTAAAAAAAAAACAATTAAAAACAGTAACTTTTATATTAAATAAAAAATATACACGTAAAACTTACTTTAAAAGAACATTAAATTTAGCTTAATGACATGGATCTGAATTTCTCTTTTTTTTTTATTATTCTGCAAATTATATATATATATATATACACTATATATGCAAAGTCAATACTTATCATAGCTACCCCCATCTTTGAATTAAAAAAAAGACATGTAGACTGCTAATAACAAAAAGAACAAGTTGTTACATAGATACAATCTGTTTGTTACAGAGATAATAAAACATTCCGTTTTTTAAGAAAATAACATTATAAAAATACATTTCTTAAATATAGGCACAATATTGTACAGAATAACTTTCAGTGTACCTATTTTTTACATAGAAAAGCACGTAATGCAAACTTAATATCATATTAACTTAAACTATACTTCAGTATTCAAAAGTTTCTGGTATCACTATAAAAATGATTTTGTATTTACTAAATATATTGAACATCATTTGGAAATCTTAAAAAAATTTATTTCTCTAATTACATACCTGCCAACTTTTATGCATTTGGCGTAAAATTTTATTTTTATATTTAAAGTGGTAGTAAAATTTATGCTTTCTATAGATTCCTTGCATTTATAAATTTAATTTATAATCTTTTTGACCACCACTATTTTCTAAAAAAATAAGCATATATTAATATGCAATACTGTCGAAGTTGTCTGCTTAAACTTTTTCAAAATACAGCGTATGTTTCTGTCTAAAATTGTAATTAAAATTCCATTTTACTACCACTGGGGAAAATCATCCTCGAAAGGATTAAAAGTTGGCAGGTATGTAAAATTATATATTTTTTCTTCTTTGCAGTCACTCTAAATTATTATAATTTTCAATGACTAAACTGCATTTTATTGAAGGAAAGTCTGAGATTTTCTAAAACAAACCTATTATATGATTAGAATGCTGGCAAGTGTCATTTTGCAACATTTACAATGTGTATCAATTACAAAGCTCGGCTTCTTTGAAATAAAAGTATCCCCTTATCAAAATTTTATGATTGAACCTGTTTTCAAGAAATTTTCGAAGCAACTTATTTTGCTTTATAAAGGGAGTAAGTCACCTATTAGGCTAATAACCTCACATTTTTTAGGAAATTACACTTACTCTTAGCACTTTAAAGTTTACCTATTTCTCTAACTTCGACATTTGTAAATGCTGGTTATTTTTAAAAATTATATTTATCAGAGTGAATGGTTTTTAATTGATGTGGAAATATTATAATGAAGCACAACTTAATGCAATGGCAGGCTTATAGTAAAAAGTCCTTGTGATTAGTATTGACTATTTGTATTAATGGTATATATAATTCACTGATTTTATTTCTAATTAACTGTACCTGTTTTAAAGCTACTTATGTTTATAAGTAAATAACATAGCTATGTAACAGATGCACTTTTTGAAATGTGTTTTTCCATTTTTTGCAAACGCAGCTTTTTGTTCTAAGGCTCTCACTTTCTGCTTTGATTTTAAACATTTTAATTTTCGCACATTTAAAAATGTAAACACAATTAAAGCAAAGAAGTATAAATAAACCTATTTAATGTTTTTCATTGCATATTTCATTATTATCATTGCTATTTTGTTAGTCTTATAATCCCAATTTTTTTTTCCTCTTAAGAACCAAGAACGTATAAATATGTAAGTTCGAAAGCTACTCAATGTTTAAAAAGTGGTAGTAAATTTATAAGTTAAACAATAATGATCTTGTTTGAATTACTTCATAAGTTGACTTTTTTTTTTTACAGTAGATAAACTACGACTCATATCTAGATTCTGAAAATAATCATATATAATGGTGGGCATATATGCAACTTGTATTTCTTGTATATGTATAATAATATTATCTTCTTTCTCCCACTTTAACATTGGGCAACGCGGAGCTTTCAAGTACGTTCTGGTTTCAAAGGGTAAATTACTGATCACTAAGATGAGAATCGAAATTGAAATGTAGTTTATTAGAGACCAATTTTATTTAATGCTGACGAATTTTTGTCAGTTAAGTTTTATTCATTCCTTTACTATATTTTTTTAGATTGTATCAAATTGTGTATATTTTGTGTGTAGTTTTTTTTCTGTAATTTTTCCAATTTCAATAACTCATATCCTAAGTTTTACAACTTATTAAACAATACAGTTGAAGTAAAGAATACTCAGCCATAGAAATATATTTTACCATTCACAACCATAATGAAAACATAAACCTTTTTAAGTGCATATTTTCTATATATTTGAGTATCTTTTAAAAACATGGTTCTTTAATTAATTTTTTGTCCGCGTTCTGAGAAGTTTGAACAAATTGAATTGGTGAATGAAAACTATTTCACTGTGTTTTTTCTTTTTAAATCACTAAAGGTAAAATGAGCAAAATTGACTAATATATATAAGTAAAAAGAGGTTAAGTAACATAAAATTGTTTGTTACTTAACCTCTAAGCTTTTTGAACATCAAAATATTTCCTTTACATCTTGTCATGTAAAACTTTACACCAATATTTAGTTTTTTCAAAAATTATAAAATGTTATAAAAATAAAGGAAAATTTTGAGACTTTTTATTAATGTAAGTTTTTATAATTTGAATAAAAAATGAAAAATAATGTTTAATTTTCTAACTGAATGTGAAAGCATACACATGCATGAATAAAAAAATTAAGTTATTTAATGGGGCATCATTGGTAATTTCTTTTCCAGTATTTTCATCAATAATCTATAAATGTCAGCGTTACTATTTGATGTATTTTGGAGCTGTTAATGTGGCGCTGGTTGTCAAATATACTGTTAAATAATCTGCAGTGAGCATATTTTTGTATATACTTTAGTCATAGTGGAGAAAGATTTAGTGCCTTTGATCCACTGCTGACTTATGTTTGATGTCATCGTTTTGTTGTATACTCTTATATGTCCTCTGAGGTGGAACATCAGTGATGTACAATAAAATATTAATCTCAACTGTATATGGAGTTTTTAATTATTATACTCTGTTTTATTGATAACAATGTTTGAATTGTAATAATTTGAAACCCTTAACAATTTATTCTGCACGGGGTATTCAATAATGGTCACCAGATTCATGAGAATACATCAAGACTTGTTAGATTGTTGGAGGATCTAAATTTCATTTAACAGTCAAACTGATTTTGTTTTTAATCCTGCCTTCTTCAATAATCAATAGTGATTTGTCAGATAGATAAAATTTTTGTTGCTTACAAGCTTAAATACAAATATGCAACTCCTAATGTGTAGAGCTAAGGTTAGGTGTTTAACATGACGAGTGCCAAAAACTGGTTAAGACTGTCAAAAACCATGGCTGAAAGTTTTTTATTTATTTAAAACATTAATTTAAAATACAAATTTATATTAATTAATAAATAAGAGCTATTTAACAAATGAATAATATTATACCAATATATAAATGCAATTTTTTTAGGATTTTGTCGGTTTTTGAAACAGATTTTTGATGCGAGAGTTTTATCTGTGTAAAAAACTGAGTGCCAAAACCTCCCCAGACCAGTTCCTAGCTTTAACACCATTTTTACAAAGCTTTATAAAAGCATAAATTAAAGGCCATTATTATGGAACTTTCAATAGGATAGAATGTCACATACTATAAATATATGTAATTTGGCGTTTTCTCTTGCATATGAGACCAAGTTTGCTTAAAAATTATAATGATTTTATCAACACTTTAAAAAAATTAAAAGAGAAGATGTTTAATACATTGAAAATAAGTTTATCCTGTAAGGGTTCATCCAATTACAAGTAGACTATACGCCCCATATCTTTTATGCAGACAGAAGAAAGTTAAATGTCAAATATGAAGTATTTAAGAAGTTTAAAAAATTTAAATGTAGGAAAAAATACATTATTTTTATGATTCAATTGTTCATACTTCATTTATTACTTAAACCAATATATATACATTTTTTTGAGGAGAGACTATTATATAAATAAAATTTAAGTCTAAACTTTAAGAAATATATATGTAGCTGGCAAAAGTGATGTTACCATGGTTTCAAAAATGTTACATTAGTCATAATATTAACTTTGAAGAATTATTAATAACTGCTAAAAAAAATAACACCTTTTTATTTCAGTTGGATGAATAATCAATGTTTGCATCAAAAATATATAAGAAAAAGACAAGATTATTTATTTATATTTTAATGAGTAAAAAAAATGCCTAAATGTGATAGTCAATACGTCTGAACTGTTACAAGAACCAATTTAAAAGTTTGCAGAGTGAAATTTATAATTATTGAACATAAATTCTTGCTACAGGTGATATTCATTAAAATAGCTTTATACACTTTGGTTTTAAGCTTTTAATTTGCACTAAAAATAGCAACCGAAATCATAATTTGAGATGAAAATTTTACCGAACTTTTGATACAAAGTGCAGTTAAGAAATTTATAAATTTGTGCTGCAAAATCTATTAAATTAGTATATATACATATTTGAAAATAAATAAATACTACAAGAGTCATTCTGTAAACATTCATAAATATGAGTTATGGAACAATTAAATTTGACCTAAAATTATTAATAAAAATGTTTTAGATTAGAATATAAAACATAAAATTGTTAGCATTTAAAAGAACAACTAATATTTTTGTATCCATTCTGCAAATTTCTACTTTAAACTTTTGATTTCGGATGTACCTTTTTCTGGAAATTTTAGTTGAATATTTAGAAATTTAAACAAAAAACAAGCGTCAGGCTATGAAAAGATAAACTTCACGGTTTGAAAAGATACATCAGTTATAATTACAATTTATAAAATCAGATGAAATTGTCATTTTAAAAAGCTTGTCGTTATAAGCAAATATGATAATACAAATAACACAAAAATAGCAATAAAAAGACAAAAAAATTCAAAAGTCACATATATTTCCTTTTCTTTCATTTTGAATAACTATTTGGATTTAAAATACATATCAAGAGTAGACTACTTTTGCCTACAGATTGAAGACTTAATTATGTAGTTCTTCACTTAATAGGGGTAAAAATGTTGACCATAGGATTGTTTAATAAACAAATTTCCAAATTGTAATAAGTTTTTGCAAGAATAAAATTAAATGAATAGCAATACCTTTTGAAATTATTGAAAACAGTGAATGTTGATTTTAATAGCAAGTCATCAAGAAAGAAAATAAAATATGATAGAGGTGTGAAAAAAGGCTTTTTTTCTGTAGTTCCAGGCAGGATTTCTAAAAACAGGGGGAAAACTATTAATAAGGGAGAAGATAAATTAGCCTGCGGTCATTCATTCACTCATTGCTATATAAAAATAAGGGGTCAAAATTGGAAGAAGGAAACAATGTTCGTTTTTCACTTTTCTGTATTGATACTAGAAATTAATAAAAATATTTTCCTTTTAAACCCTTTTTTTGTAAAATATATTTACATAGCATAAAAATGTATTTCCCTAATTTTTTTTTTGTAGTAGCGAAAGGCTAGTAGTTCTTTACTTATTATAAACATTTAGTTTTAATATCTTTACTATTAGGAATTTGGCGGTGATTTTGAAATTTATCGAAATAGCGTATTTCTCATAATATCCTGTACTTGTCATATCGAGCCTTTACTTTAGCTAGATTAAATATTTGATAAATTATTAACATTTAGTTAAAACTGTTAACATTAAGATGACACAGTTTTACAACAAAATTCGTCATTTAATGGACATAAAAACTTTCTAAAAGAGACATTTTTTTTAAAAAAAAATAGCACTTTGAACCTGAACTGAACCTTTCAAAATAGCAGTCAATTGTTAAATTTTTTGGATGAAAACAAAATTTAAATTACCGTATTTTTCGGCGAAAGCACCGCTTCGTCGCAAGCGCCGCACCTCGATAAAAATGAAATTTTTTAAAAAAAAAGTTATAATAAGCGCCGCAATGGTGCTAAGCCGCGCATATCAGCATCCATTTAGAAGAGACCTTTAAATTACCATTTAGAGTATCTGTATAATAAAAAATTAAATTTTTTTATGCATTTCATAAAGTTAAGTTTTAATTTCTAAATTATAATAAAAAAAAAATTTTTTAGCAAGGAAAAAAAAGCAACAAAACAATATAAAAGTGTTCTTACCCGTTGGCACCGCGCCAAAATATAAAGTACAACAAATAAGTCTGAAAATAATGTAAGTGCAACAAAATATTTTTAAATACATCAAATAACGTAATTCTTAAATTATTTGGGGAGTGGTGCCAACTG